TGAAAGCAAAATAAATATCAACAAACGTAGTTTTTCTGATTAAGTCGAGAAGCAATAAGCAAAAAAGTACAAAGATAATTCAATATATCTTGGAATTTCAAAGATAATTATTAATGTGAATATCGAGGTTAAAACTAGTAGTGAGTTCGCAAAGGGGACTGTGGATTAAGGTATATCACTTTAGAAGTGATAAATTATAAAAATGGTAAATGCTTTCTTATCAAGGTCAGTTAAAATAACATTTGATATTTTTTTCGATGTATATTTACTCTATTCTGTTTAAGGTGATAAAGGTAGTCTAATTTTCCCAGTTCCAGTAAATTTCACATAGTCTTGCCTCCCAAAAGGTATTCTCATCCAAAGTAGACAAAAGTTACGACCTCGCCTAGGTCTCATCAGCAACATTATCAGGTATCTCAGATAATGGTCTCGACAAATTAGTTACCACAGCACAGTGTTATTGGGTAAAAGGAAAGAGGATAAATTCAAAGAAGGCAAGGCCTTTCCCATATCAATTATTGTTGTGGGAATGTCGATGAAGTAACGTTGTATTTACAATGGCAATCGACTATCTTAAATATTTTCACTTTATAAATAGGTTCACGAAACTACCAGTAGATCATGAATTTTATTTTACTTATTTCGTTTATTATAATGAAGAATTGGAAGTTGAATTTTCACCCTGCGCTATAAGTAGGCCTTATGCCTCCATCGAATTTCACATAGCTTTGCTTTCCATAAATATTTTTCATCCAGAGTAGACTGCAGCTTTGAACCTTCCTGTGGATTTCAATGAGACTTATGCGAGATCTAAACTGCAGTCCACCCTGGATGGGAATACCTTGAGAAAGGAAGGCTATGTAAAATGTAATGAAAACATGAAGCCTAACTATATCATTATGGAATAATTAAATTGTAAGCCATCAGGGTGAATATAGTTCGTAGTAAATATATAGTTTGACCTATATGTGCCGTGCCACACCTACATAATGTTGGCTGCAAATAAAGTCGCTCATGGTCATAGATATATCATTGCTTACCTAGCAAATAAAAGATCCCTTCATTTCAAGAAATTAACTCTGGAGTGAATGAAAAAAGAACGAGATTTGATTTTAGGACCATCTGTGATTCAAAACCAAAAATAGAGCATATACGAGTCCATCTAAAAGATCTCTAATAAATCAGTTAAGGTTGAATATAGTTAATATTACTAAGCGGATTTTGAATCCCAGGATCATGAGCTAACAAATTAAAGCAATTAGGACAAATAAATAAGTGATAGGCAAAGCCATATTTAATGGCTTCGCTGGATGTAAGCATGTTGATCACCAGCATGCGACAAAACAGAGTATATGTTATCTTACATTCACACTAAATAGGCTTCGATACTACTAGAAAATCATGAAGAAATGTATTACCGATGAAGGTTTGATTTTACATTGAAATTTATTGCCCTATTAATCATTTCAGACTGTTACTAACCCGCAATTTCAATAATAATTAAAGTGCTCTATGCGAACGACGAACGAAACCTCGAATGTTACTCTGGAGATATTCTTGCCTGATATTGGATAGAATACCCACAGTTGGCCCAGGTGAATGTCCTCACTGAGAAAAGGGTGATCATATAGACAAATAAGTGATGGAAATAAAAAAGACCCAAAATATGAGAAGTTAGATATCATTTCTTCCGCCTGGGATAATAATAAAAGTAATACAATGCAACTTGCCATTAGGCAAATTTCGTTTTTGCATCTTAAATTTTTTTAGAGTGGAGACAGCTTCAGAAGAGTTATTTCTAAATCATTTTGTAGAATAGGTGGCAGTGCCCTAGCCAGAGGTGAACTTAGAGTAGGAAACAACCTAAACAATCTGTTACAAATATGAAGATTTTATCTTAAATCTTACATACTAGGTAAATAAAAAAACGAAAAATTACCGAGTTAATTACATGAAAAAAGGCAATAGCTTCACAGGGCAATCAATCACTAGTAAAAAGACGTAATAAAAACTGATTCATGAAAGAATGCGACATGTTAATGGAAATGATTGCCCATTTGAACTTATGTCGCATGATCAATCAGCACACTTTTTGAAGCAAACGAGCTGATAAGTGAGCAATTAATAACGATCATGGATCACTGGAGCTTAATACATGAGGTATTAGGGGTCCGGAATAAAAAGGCCGATCTCTGCCGAACTAGCTATTCACTCTAGCCATCCACCATACACAAACAGTTAAAAATTGGTTGCCATACTATTAGTTTATATACATATCCTCATCTCTTTGTTAAGCCGAGTAATTGTGAGCATATAGCTTTTGATGGGACTATTAAATAAGTGGTTTTCAGCAAAGCCAGGCCGGAACAGAGGAACTTTCAAATTATCTTTACCATATATGTGTTTGATATATTCATCCGCCACCCTAGCCGAGCTTGATTTGGCGCTAACTCAGGCGAATGGAGACGAGCTCAATAAGTTGACGCACTAGGGGGAGGATTTCTAATCTGAATATGGATTTTTATGCAAAATAATATGCACTTCGGATAAAACCAACGGATAACGTATTGACGTATGATGTTGAACTTAAGATTTGTCATAATAAAAAAAGATGGATAGTTTCGTATCACCCAAAATATCTAGTATAAGTTTTGGCAGAATTGTAACATGGAGCCACTAGAGACGAATTAGGAGACTTTGTATCCTGATAAAATATTAATAGGTTCTAATAATAGAAGTTAAAGTCCAGTCTGAATGTTTCAATCTATAAGGAAAACAGTGGGGCATCCTGTTTTCGCATTGTTCAAAAAAGAATCAAATTCTACACCAACGTGTTTAAATAGAGATTCACTTTTGTAGATGAACTTTATAAAGGGTCCCTATGTAAAGGAAAAAAGAGCCGATAATGACATTTAAAATAGAAGCTATCAATGTCAAAGAGATATGGAGCAAAAGGGTAGTCGAAACACACTTTGAAATCTATATTAATATGACGATAATAGTGGGCATAGTGAATATTCTCATTGCTCCCTTTCTAGATTACCCGTTTGATCAAAATCCACCCAAGTTGGGTGCAACCAAGCCCTTCTATCAGGACAAGCTGACCTGTTTTCTCGGAAGGCATTGAAGTGAAGGCGTAATTGCTCGTTTATTTTTGCTACGGGAATGAGATTTCCCGCAGATTCGAGCCATGCAGGACGACCTTCAACAACCTCGACCTCGGGGCTGGCAGCGCATAGTTCAAAGCCTTCCTGACACTCAAGCGTCTAAAATATTTTAAAGTAACGAACTAAAAATAGGCATGGATTCCAAGTATATGCAAAACAAATTTTATAGTGGTTGAAAAGTGCGACTATATAAATAAAATGAAGACAACTTATTTCAAGGGGAGTGAAACTTACTAACGAAAATTATCTAAACTCTTTTAAAAGAATTTAGCAATCTGAACGTGCGATTTTAGCCTATAAAACGTATAATAGTTGGTTAAAGAAGGTATTTGAATCAAAACCTGGTAAAAAGATTTAAATAGATAAGCAAAATTT